TGGACCGGGTTAGCCACCGGGCCGGGTTTAAAAACTATGTTGAAAAGTCTTAAACTAATAATTTCAAAAAATTATTTTTAATATCAATTTATTAAAAAAATAAAATAAATAAGATAAAATTAAAACAAAAATCTTAAAAAATTTCAAAAACATACCGATAAATAGTCCTTATTTCAAATTCTAGCTCCCAGGTACCAACTAGGGTTCAAGATTTGGCAGTGCCAGATTTCGGGCTTTTGATTGGATATCATCTGCAGAGAAGAGGGTACGTAGCTTTACATTATTACTTTCTCAAAACCTCCTTTCCCAATGCTTGAATTCCTCTCTAGAATCTTAACTTGTTCTGTTAGAACTTCAATGATAGATAAAGTTTGCATTTTTGAGAACACTTCATTACTATCATCATCTCTCAGATGCATATCATCAAACACTACAAATCCTAAAAATCACCACGCATTTACTGTGTCTTATCTCATAAATTCATGTGGGTTGTCTCCAAAAGCTGCATTAGCAGCTTCCAAAGATCTCCATTTTGATGACCCACATAAACCTGATGCTGTCCTTAGCTTTTTCAAGAACCATGGCTTTTCAAAAGCCCAAATCTTTAACATTGTCAAAGGATACCCTGGAGTGCTCATGACCAATCCTGACAAAACCCTTTTGCCCAAACTTGAGTTTTTGCAATCCAAAGGTGTTTCAAGGCCTGACATTGCCAAGATCATATCATCACATCCTTGGACTTTGCACCGTAGGTACTGCTTTGTCCCTATTTTTTATTTCTTTAAACACTTGGTCCAATCTGATGATACAACCATCAAAGTGTTCAAGCGCTATCCCGGTCTACTTGGACTTGATCTTGCAATTGTGACATCTATGCTCAATATTTTGCGAGATAACGGAGTGCCTGAAAGTAATATTCCTATGTTAGCTCGTTGCTATCCCTTAACTATGATGTTGACCCTGGAGAAATTTAAGAAGCTTGTTGAGGAATTGAGGGCAATGGGCTTTGATACTTCCACGAGTCGGTTTATTTTGGCGATGAATGTTCTGTGCTTGATGAGTAGAGTCAAGTGGGAAAGGAAACTTGATGCGTACAGAGACTGGGGTTTGTCTCATGAAGAGATTCTTGCAGCATTCAGAAAGTATCCATATTTTATGACAGCATCTGAATATAGGATTATGGAAGTGATGTGTCTTTTTGTCAACAAATTGGGATGGGAGCCTTCTTTTATTGCTAAACACCCATCTCTTATGTTATACAGTGTGGAGAAGACGCTCATTCCAAGGGCTTCAGTTTTGGGGTTTCTAGTTTCTAGAGGCTTGATTGAGAAGAGTTTTAGAAGCTATGAATTCTTCCAGAGTCCAGAAAATAAGTTCCTGCAAAATGTCATAAGCAGCTATGCTGAATCCACTGAGCTGTTGCAGTTGTACAGGGAGAAACAAAATCTTTCAAGATGCAAAGGCGTTTGGTGAAAAGGTAGTGCCTATAAGGTCTAGCTTGTACATTCGCATATCAGTCACTTGACATTTTCTTTTCTTGTGTACTTGATTTGGTTGTTTTAGTTCCAGGTGTACTATTGGGATTGATGAGAAGGATAGATGAAGTTGTGAAAGTTACGGTGTCATATTTTGCTTTTAGGATTGCTAGTTCCAATAGCATCAATTCAATTTGATACCACTATCAGCAGATTTTTATCTATTTTACTTATACCAAAAATATGCAAGTTATTCAGGCTTAGTGCATGCCTTGTATATTTTCCTTCGCAATATATAGAAAGATTGTTTGAAGTAAAAAAGGATGAGCTAAAATAAACAAACAGAAATTTTCTGTGGAAGCTGGGGATTTAATGATATGTTTCGGGGAAACATATTGGGATTGCTTGGCCGGGCAAGGTAAGAGAATGGCTTCATGCTGCAATCCTTTGTTGTTTTTCTTTTCGTAAGTACATGCAGCAAGATGGGTAATGTTACATGCTATTGTTGACTGTTCATGTTGCAATAAATGAGGCTTCTGTTCTTGCTTCTCTAAACATTCTTAATGCTTGCGATAATGATGATCAGCAGTCCTTGTTGAGGTTTAGTGACAAATTAAAAAGAAGCTTTTACTGTAATCCCTTACTCTCTCTCTCTCTCTCTCAATGCATCTCTCTATGTTTTCTGTTTTCTCTCCTCATTCACATCAAATTCACTTAATCTCTGAGTTAAGGTTGGGACAAAGTTAAGGTTTGTTATTCTCATTTCAGTGCAGAAGATACCCTGCCATTCTTCAGATTCCTTTGTGTGCGGATGGTGTGATAGACAGCTATGTGTGGAATTTTAGTAGAAATGGTATTTACACTGTTAGGTCAGGGTATGGGGCTACAGAACATTTGTTAACTACTTCTAATGGGCAAACATCTGCTGGTAAATCTAGCCATTCTGATTCTGCTAATCATATTTGGAAGGAGATTTGGAGGTTTTAGGAAAGAAAACTCTGCATTTTATTTGTTTGTGTTGTTAAGGAATAAAGATGTCATTCCTGTTCGCTTCAATTTATGCAAGAGGCATGTTCAAGTTGATAAAATCTGCCCCCTTTTGCCCTCAGAGAGATGAAGCAGTAATCCACCTTTTACTTCTTGTCAGCTAGCTAGCTCACGTTCTGGTATTGCTTTCCAATTCAACTGGATGTGGTCTCCAAGGCTTAAGATAGAGGATAGGGTTCTGAAAGTCTTTAGTTATGCTGCAAATTGAATGTTGTGATGAGGATCGTCTGATGATGATAGCTTGCTGAATAAATTCTTGTTTGACTGGAGACCACATCAATCCATGCTTGGTTTATTCATTTACTTTCAATTTGTTCATATCTGCTAAAACCTTCAAGACAAACTGATGGCTTTATGTTAACTTGGTTAATTTAATTTGCAGTGAAGTACCAGATTCATTACATAACTGTATTAAACAATCTCCGTAAGGAAGGTAATTTTTATTCTGTCACTGCTTCAAGTTCAGTTTCCTAATGTTTAGATTCATCTGCAGAAGTATAGGGTGTTACGTTAGAATTACAAGAGCTTCAACAATTGATGAAAAGCTTTATTTTCTTCATGAAAACCCATCCATTTTTAACGACACAAATGCTGATGACTGTCATTTACAGTCTCATACATCGGAAGCACTTGTGGATTCTCTATAAAATCTGCTCTAGCAGCTTCTAAACTAGTTCATTTTGAAACCCACATAAACCCGACTCTGATCTCTCCTTTCCTGAAGCCCAAATTTTGAACCTCGTGAGTAAACATGCTCAATTACCTCTGTACAATCCCGATAAAACCCTTTTGCCCAAGCTTGAGTGTTTGTACTCTAAAATGTTCGAAGCCATGATGTTGCCAAAGTTGTATAATCCTACCTTGTGATTTTGAGAAGCAGTTTAGAAAACCAAGGAGTCCCTGCGTTTTATTTCTTTCAAAACTTCCAATCTAATGACATTACCATGGAAGCATTCAAATGAAATGCACATCTTCTCAAATTAAATCTTGCAAATGGTGAACAGATGCTCAGGATTTTGCAAGATAATAGAGTGCCTGAAAAGAATAAATATAGGTTTACTCGTCGCTTCTTTCTGGCGATGGTATCCAATTTATAAATTATATGCACCACGTAGAGGAAGTGAAGGAAAAGGGGTTCAATCCTGAAGTCCAAATGGGAAAAGAACCTTTTAATATGCTTAGGAAGTGGCATCTCTCATTATAGCGATCAAGGTCCTGAAGTCCATCAGCAGATCCAAATGGGAAAATAACCTTAGTATATATGGGAAGTGAGATTTGTCTGATGCCAGAGGTTTTTGCAGCATTTAGAAGATTATAGAAGAAATAAACTTTTTTGTTTACAAACTGGGCTGGTAGTCTTCCTTTATTGCCCCAATATCCGTATCTTGTTGGACTCAGCTTTTAGCAGAAACTCATTCCAAGAGCTCAGGTTTTGGTCAAGAAAAATTATAGATTCACCACTTGTCATATTTCCTGAAAAAAATTGCAAGAGCTGGTGATTCGTTATGATAAAGGTCTTGAGAGATTTCTACATTCACATGCTTCCTGTTCTGAATCTTGATTGAAGCTTGAATGTTGATTTGATTGAAAAGCAGCACTTCTAAAACATTTTATTTTATTTTATTTTTTAATCAGAATTGCTATGTATTCTCCTTTGTTCTTAATTAACTTGATGATACTGAGTTCTTCTGTAGCATAGCTTTAGTTCTTAGTCTGCTAATACCATGTAATTATTGTTAAAAAATCAATGACCTCTCTGCTTGCATGATTTCTAGCATGAGCTAGATATTGGTACTCGCAACCACGTACCGTGCTTTATTGTCGTCCTTTCTGAAGGATGCCTCCACGACAGAAAACACTGAGATGGTTGCAGACCGTCAAGTCTTCATCCTCCATTGAAACTTGAGAGAAATGAAAATCGAGAGTGCAGATTTTATGGGTTGCCTCTCACAAAAGGCAACAAAAGAGTGAAAGTCAAATATGAAATGCTTAATTTTTATTACAAGTCAAGCACTCAAAGGTGAAGGAATTCAAAGGTCATACATGCATAACAGGCTATCATCATTTAAAAGAAATTTCACAATGTTGGTCTTGATTGACTTTCCAAGGTCTTAAATTCCCGGCATGGTTACCTTCAACTTCGCGGTTTCTTGATCAGTTCTCATCTCTCTTTCTCCCCGTGGAAATATAGGTATTGTATTGCTTTCTTTATTTCAAACAAAACATTCTTATACACCCAAAAAAAAAAAGTCCTGAATTTAATTTGAAAATTATAAAACAAAATTATTCAAGAGTTTTTAAGATCCTATTAGATAAATTTATAGTTGTTTAAAGATTTATTACATGAAAATTTAACATTCTTCAGCTTTAAATAATTTTTTAAAAGCTAAGTTGTTGCACATTATAAGCTATCTAATTATTTGGTCTCCAACACTATTCCACATGAATAATCTATGAAAAATCTTTTAAATTTTTATTTTGAAAAGAAGGATTACTATGTTTAAAGTGCAAGCCTTAATATTGTGTTTGCGTAATTTTTCTATCTAACATACAACTACTCTTCACTTCAAAAATATAGAGTCATAACTTATTATTTATAGAGAAATATGAAAAACCTTATAAATTGATAAAATATAAATTTATCTCTTGAATAATATCGATGTATTAATTCAGGAAAATTTTAGAAATTAACCTAATCAAGTCTTTAATTTTTCTAGGTCTAGAAATATAATTCCTATATTAATTATAATCTAATCCTTAATTTCTAAAATATATTTTAATTAGATCATACTTAATTAAATCATCCTAGTTTAATTTTTGATTAATGGTTCTTGATGTGTGCATGTGATTTATTAGGTTCCTAGCATGTTAGCTCAAATATAAATTATAATTATAATTAAATTGAATTAAATAAATTAAATTATTTAATTTATTATTAATTCAATAATTAATTAATTTATATTTAAAGATTAGGTGTATTGTCTAGTAAAGTGTCATGATCCTTAGAATATTAGAAAAGTCATTAGTGGTTTGACTTAACCTTTTAGTGATCGGTTTCTTAATGTAATTAATATTTATTTCATCAATAATATTCTGATTGAATATTAAAGCATGAAGTATGTTTGTCATATTAAATGTTAAATCATGTTTGCTCTCTACATAATAAGTATTGATAATTTGAATAAGATTTGAAATCCTTTTCAAATCTCATTCCATTTTGATCAAGATTTTCTTAGTAAATACTATTTGAGAATAAATATAGCATTTTCTCTAATTCGTTTAGGGTGATGAATTCTCTTTGATTACTCAAATACTTTTATATAGTTCATATTATATATAATATTTTCCATTTCATTAACTCAATTAAAATAATATGTAACAAAATCAAAGTATAACATTTTTTATATAAGATAACTTAGTAATCTCAAGTCTAAGTATCACTTACATAACAGTTATGCGAGCCTTTTCATAAACATAAATGATTCCTGCATATAAAATTTTTATGCAGGTTAGTTTAGTGTATATATATTATAATAAACACATATATATTAGTTTTATGTTTTCCTTATACCTCAACTTTACGGCTTTAATGAATGTCTAATATTTAAGAGAGTATCAATCAAGAA